TAACTTTCATTTCCTTATATTCTGGAATTAGATGATTGAATCAGGTCCCTGAAATAACTGACTTCATTATTTGAACTTTACACTAAGAGGAAACAGACAGTAATGGCATAAACCACATCCAGATGCAACCACTTCTCTGCCCTTTTAGATAAAGATTTTCCATTCCATTTCTTGTGTGTTTTAATAGCTTCCCTAACATATTTAAAAAGATTCTAACAATTCTTTGTGGAATGTCTCCAAAAATGTATATCATTTTCAGTAAATCTAAAATCCCTGTTGTGCTTTGCTTCTTTTTTTTAGAACTGAATATTACAAGAACAAAGGGAAACAAATGAGAGAAGATTACAGTATAAATGAATAATCTGTCTCTATAGAAAACAGAGCTTCACGGAGGTGTGGTATATAATCTTTACTTTTCTTTGGAAGTTCTGCTGTATATTTAGAAGGTACATCTGTGTGAAAATTAGAGGGTGTGGTGAAACGTACTATAGAAGCAGGTTATTTTCTTGTTTTCTCCGAATAATTTCCTACAGTACAGTAAGTCAAAATGAACATGTGATTTATTAAAAAAACACAACAATGCTTCTTTCATGTCCTTATCTTCATCACCTTGGGCTTCAGGAATGATTGCAAAACAGATGCTGTTCCATTACATGCACATGCCAGTCTCTGCCTTTGTTTGAAAAACTACTGAAGCATATCAAAGTGTGAGTCAGTGTTTTGCGGTGTTTAAAACTGACCTATAGACTTTGACAAGAGTGCAAGTCCACCTGCTGGGTAATATTTTATTTGAAGTACTGCTGGTGAAGGTCCACTGTAGCAGACCCAGCCTTGCCAAAGTGGGCCCCTGGGTCTGCACGCACAGAAACTCACAAGAGCAACCAGGAGCACAGCAGAGCAGGCTTTATTTTTTAATTTTACAGGGCAATTCATTCAACAATGTTAGTTTTCAATAATGTGCAACACCTCTAATGTCATACATGTCCTTTCAATACTTAAAATTAAAGACATTTGAAAATGTGGAATGCTAACCCCCTGCCAATTAACTCATAATTACCTAATTCACCTCTACTGTTGTTATTTATAAGTTTGTTAGAGGGTTAATATGGCCTTTACTGGCAGCTCAGTTGTAATTACAGCCTTTCTAAAGATGACCTACTACATCAAATTTTTTAAATTGTTGGATAACAGTACTGGCCACAAACATTGTAGCAGATCTGAATATTTTCCTTATTTCATGGACATCTGTGCCATTAAATAAAGATGAAAACTATAGGTACAGTACAGGCACTGTCTCAGTGCTCAGAGTGATGGCTTTGTTATGCAGTTTTTAAAATCCACTCTTCAACAACAGAGAAACTGTGGCTGGAAAATGCCATGGATTTGCTGTGAAACTCATCACATTGCATCAATTTATTTTGCTGGCTCAGCTTCTGGAAAGCATGACACAATCACATGCTTGTGTGTCTCATACAAAGCAGTCTTCTTAGCCAGGGAAAAATAAATTAATTATTTTTTTAGTTTGAACTAGATGTAGGCTGTAAAAGCACAAACTGGGTTCCCTATATCATAAAAAAAACATAAGAAAGACACCCAAAGAAGACTCCACAGCCAAAATGTGTTTCTATTCTTCTATTTTCAGCATGGAATAAACCTTTACTTGTTCCTAAGGAAAACATAAGTCTATATCCATTTATGCCTAATGTTCAAATTAAACATTGCACTTCTGTGCACTAAGCACCTTAATACTGTACTGGAAATATGACAATGTCTTGATTAAAAAAGGTGTATCATTGTTATCGTCATGATCCTTGTCATTGTTACTACAATTTGAACATATCAAAGGTGTGATGGCTCCGTGGCTAAGGATCTGCGCCTGTGGCTGGAAGGTTGCCGGTTTGTATCCTGCTGCCGGCAGAGAAATCCTACTCCATTAGGCCCCTGAGCAAGGGCCTTAATCCCAACTGCTCCAGGGGTGCTGTATAAATGGCTGATCCTGCGCTCTGACCCCAAGCTTTTCTCCCTGTCTGAGTGTCTCATGGAGAGAAAGTTGGGGTATGTGAAAAGATAAATTCCTAATACAAGAAATTGTATATGGCCAATAAAGTGATCTCTCTCGTGTGCGTCAGTGGTATAGTGGTGAGCATAGCTGCTTTCCACTATACCACTGACCCGGATTCAATTCCTAGCCAACGTACTGTATCACCAAACATTATCAAATGCAATTGAGAGCTGTTGAAACCTGTCATGAACCTAGGAATCCAGCTAGCAAACCAAAACCTTTGGGCAGTGCTATGGCTCTGTGGCTGGACGTTTGTCATTTCGTATCCAATGGCCGGCAGAGAAATCCTACTCCGTTGGGCCCCTGAGCAAGGCCCTTAACCCCAACTGCTCCAGGGGTGCTGTATAAATGGCTGACCCTGCTCTCTGACCCCAAACTTCTCTCCCTGTCTGTGTGTGTCATGGAGAGCAAGTTGGGGTATGCGAAAAGACAAATTCCTAATACAAGAAATTGTTTATGGCCAATAAAGTGATCTTATCTTATCATAAATTTTACATTGTAAGATTTCACTGTTGCACCATACAATAATATTACTACAATTAAGTTAATGAAGAACTTAGAGTAACTTCAAGGAGCAGCTAAACTTTCATTACAAGCTGAGAAAACAAATAACACAGTGTAGATGCTAACAAAATATGGTTAGTGTTAATATATAAAATACTAGGAGACTCAGCAAGCCTTCAAAATAAACCTTAAAAATCAGAAAAACTTTAGTAAGGAAAACACAAATCGTGTCATTGTTTCAATCACATGGAACTCTTTAGATATACTGTGCTGGTATATGGAATGGTAATGGCAGGCATTGTGTACCAGCAACCCCACTTCGCTGTAGTTCAGGTGGAGAAATGAGAAATTGCTTCTTCCATTGAAATAAGGGGAAAGCTTAAGCACGCCAGATATGGCAAGTCCAAGTCCAGAATGAAATTCAGTCAAGATACCCCACTCTTATAATAATCTTTAATATTAAATTAGTTAGATTAATTAAATAAATTAGTTATGAACTTGATTTAACATCCTATCTGAAGGACTGTATGTTTTTAATGATTACACACATACATAATTATACTTCAATTAGTTAATTGTAATTATTAGTTAATTAAGCTTTGCTCTTTAAAAAAAAAACAGATTAAATGCAAAGAGAACCTCTCATCATATTGTAATACGATTCTAATTGTGTGTTTGTCACACTATGTTGAGTACACTGGATGTAGTCAGATAACATAGAGGTTTAAATCAAAAGACAAATGAAATGAAGAACCACAATACATGTCTAATAACACACCTTTATCCACTTATTTAATCCATAAACTGTAAAGGAAGCAAAACCTTGGTGTTATTTTAGTAGCAGTGCAAAAATAGAACTGGTAAACTCTGAACATCAATAGGAGTACTATACTTACAGCATCTTTCCACCAAGTCTAGACACTGAATGATGGCAAAGGGAAAGATGCAGAAATAACCTGCAATGAAAAAAGTATACATCTGAAATTAATGTTTTCAAAGTCAGACATAAACAGATTGACAAAACACAGTGCTTGAGAAAATGTTGCTTTCCTTGGATTGTTGTGGATTGTGTAAAAAAGAGCTTTCCTTCACATAGTGCATGCTATCTGCTAAGATGAAAAGAAACATTTGGTTTTGTTTTTTAATCAGTCAGTGATTCGAAATCATGGAACCAGGCCTTGAAGGGAAAATAGCTTCATCTGGTTTGAATGACTTTCTAAATTGGAACCTGAAGCCCTCAGCATGTTTCATAAAGCACAATCCCATACTATAAGGCTCACATTTTCTCTTTGGATATGAATAGCTGTTTATAAATTCCATCCTTATTTATATAATTAAAGTGTATTAGGCAAAGTCTGTCCACTTAAATAAATACTGTTATTGAGTAAATCATCTAGCATTTTTGGGTTTCTGTAGAAATTTCTTTCTGCACTTTTTAAATTACATGTATTTGCACACTTCGGAAATAAGTGGAATTATCAAATTTTCTTTGAGTGCTTTCTTGTCCTTGGTATAAACACCACTTTCATTCATGACTGTGTGCATGATTGTAAAAGGCAGAGCTCTTCACCTAAGGTGTACATGAAGCCTTAAAAGGTATCTTCTGGAGGAAAAAAATCACAAGGCAGTACTTTAGGCATAGATGTTTTGTAATAGTATACAGTTTGTGTATCGTATTCGGTCAAATGTAATAATATATTTACCAAAAATGACACAGTGTACTCTAGATATAGTATTACAGTACTTATTTTCCACCCATTTAGTTTTTAGAAAACTGATTATTCATGGTAAGGGAACGGAAACCCAGAGCTTATTGTAGAAGTATAGTGTGCAAGGAAAGACTTCACCCTGAGTGGGATGCCTGTCCATCACAGGGCACACCCATGTGCACATCTTTGGAAAGTATCAGACAGCTGGAGCACCAGGGAAAACCCTTAAGTATGGGATAACATGCAAACTCCATGCAAACAGTAGGATCCCAGTCCAAAATCTAACACAAGAGATGTGGCACTGCAGCGCTAACTACCTTGCCACCATTGCACCACTTTCTGTTTTCCTTTGCTTAAAAATGGGTAACTCTCACTGTTACTGCATAATTTAAATGTAACTAGTTTATTTCCTTTTTTTAAGTGATTTTGTCCAAAACGCCCTACAACACATTACATATTGTTTAAGATTGTACAGTAAACCTTCTACACATCACTAAAACGTTTTGCCAACTTTAATTTCTGTAGAGTGCAGTTCATCCAGCTAATTTAATATATCAGTATTTATATTTTCAGTTTAGCAAAGGGTTTATGCCATTTTATTAACTACACATGAATCTATAAACTCTTATGCGCAGTTCACATACAGTGGGTTTCTCACAAGTATCCCTTGTACTGTGAGGCGTATTTACTTCATGTGTGAACGGTTAGAAAGTAAAAGCTTAGACGTCAAGAGGAAGAGAAGGCGTTTCCACGCGCTCTGCTATAAAGAGTGAAGCAATCCGTGTTGATGTTCGGATTTGTCTGAAAAGGCAAGGCAAAAAACAAGCAAGCAGATATGGAAAGTCACAGCAAGGGAGTGGAAACGAAACAATACGGACATACAGAAGAGCCAGCAGCTGCTACTAGTCTTATGCTGGAACCAGTGGGAGCAAGTGATCAGGAAGAACATACCAAAAGTGCCAGCAGGAGGAAAAGGACAAAGAAATGGAAAATACTCGCAGGGGTGAGTAGTGTACAGAGCTCATACATTTTAACAGCTCACGAAGGACTATGATTCTTATAGAGATTGACTGCTAGGAGAAATACTTTACGTTTTACAGGTTCTATTTTTAGGTTTAGCACTGTAGCATACTGGAAGAGTGTTTACACAGGAGTAGTGTCGTCGAAGAAAATAATTATATCGATCTTTGTAAATAGAGGCGATATAACGCTCATGTTTGCGGTTTATCATTAATCTTTTGATTGATATGTAAGTAATTATTACTACGCCAATGTAAACAATGACTTGAAAGTTGACATTTTACACGTTCACGATACATACAGTACTACAGTAACAGGAAATCTAACAGTTACAGTCATATGCAACAATGTTACTATAACCATTTTAAACAAAACCATTTTGCATCAAATACTAAAATACACTTAAGACTGCCTTAGTTGAACGTACTCGTCATTATCAGATAAATAGTATTTAACGTCATAAGAGCCTCTTGCTTGCACGAGCTGTTCCTCATTTTCCTCTTAAAAGTCATTGGCATGGGCTGCTGTTTATTACCAGTGTCTGTCCTGGATTTCCTGGAGCATCTGGGTTTACAGGAAAATGTCTTCCTATATTTTTGACAACTGCCAACCACTAAATAACACTTAATAAATGTTATATATGTATAGATGAATGCATTTGGAAAAATGATTTTAGGAAATGGTTTATCACCTAGGAGTCTAACATACTGTATACTGTACTGTATGTCTGTCTTCATAAAATGGTCAAATTAAAGCAGTAATGTGCATTTTTGTACAGTACGTACGGTGACAAGTCTGAATATAAATATACAAATAACAAGTGAGATAATCTCACAGTGTCTAAAATGAAATGGACCAACAATCATATGATAATACAGTACATACAGTAGAATAATTGTAGTTAGGAAATCCCACACATGCATGAGGACTTTAAAAGGAATGTGGTGTATGACTTCTAGGTCTTAGGAGAAAGTTTCATTTTTGTATTCTAATGTATATCTGACTATTTGCAAAGAACACTGCCATAGATACAGTACATGCAGGTTGGAAAGGGTTCTGATTAATTACCAAGATGTCTTCTGTTGTTATGTATGTGAAATTTAACATCTCCTGGGGAGGGAGCTTTGCAGTGAGGCTACCTCTGTATTTGAGTCTGTTACGGTGATATAGTCCCCTGGGAAACAAAGTCGTCACTTGCTCACACTACGGTTCTTCACAACACATTTCTTCTTGTTTGTTATGTGATATTGCCTTTTTTTTTAAAAGCTTTCACCGTAATGCGGTGACTGCCTAGACTTTTATTGTCCTTATGCGGGTGTGGCACTTTCCTTTTGCCAATGAAACTAGTATACTATGTCAACACATTACTGTACTCTGTTGCATTTTTTTCACTTTTTTCTGTTACAAAATTATTTTCTGTACTTTATTATCAGAGAAAAAAACTTCTCTTATTACAACTTGTAAATGAACAGGCTTGTTTTTCTTTTCAGACAAATCTCACTGACAGGATTCTACAGAAAATAAATTAAGCTTTTTACAATATATTCACTGCTTAGAAAACCCAAAAATAATATGTAACTGCAAATAGCGATAATTAGTGACCAAGTCAACATATCCCCTTTTTGGCATAAGAGTTTTGCATTTGACCATAAAGAGAGATCAAAGATCAAAATGCCATTTTTGATAGAGTAATTATGGTTTCATATAAGTACAGTATGTGTTCCATAATATCCATTACCCTATCTGTAACATTGTAGAAAATGTCTGTATGACCTTCAACACTTTTAATTAAGAGAGGTCATACAGTAGATCATAAATAGGACTTTTTAAAGTCCACATGAGGTTTTATGTACAGTATGTTTAATGTGTTTCAGTTGTATAAAGTATATACTAGACATGTATGTGACCTGGTCTACCAAATTGTGCTTGAATCAACCAAGTGCACACCAAGAATATTTCAACAGATCCAACATAAGTAGCAGCCAAACCAAGTAACTAATCTGCCTTTTCAAAAAAAGTTCAAATCTTGGTCAAATCTAGGAAACATTGCAGTACATACTGAGATTCAGGTACAATATATGGTTCCATTAGTTTCAAAGAAGCAAATGGTGGAAAATTGTGAGAAACTCCAAATCATCGCATAAATGAGCCATAATAAAAAAAAACGTGTGACCAAACTGATTCATTTCCACATTCACTGTAGATCCATGTAAGCTCTGGGACCACAAGAAGCTTAATGAATTTGACAAACTGTTCCAACAAGATCCTGTACATTGCAATTATCTATAAAATTATGAACAACTTCAATTTGGTTGGTATACTGGGGCCTTGTTTTGAATATAGCAAGTGGTATTAACACTTCTGACAGACAACACAACTTTCTTCATGTGTACCAGGTTTCCTCCGTTCATCCTAATGTGTTTTGTGGAGAAATTGTTTAAGTATTTTTCACTATACACTGTATATATACTGTAAATGTGATTTATACACAAATATGGAGTTCCAGTGCAGTATAATGTCCATCATTTTTATGTTTAATTTAATCGGAATCGCAATATGTAGTTATTATATTGTATAGTAGTTGGTTGAAAGGAAATTTGTATACTGAATATTACAATGAACTTATAAGTGTATACATATTTTGAGAAAAATAAAGTATTCAATTTTTTGGATATTTGGATATTGAATTCGAATAATTGATCTTTCTTTATTAACTGTGATACATTCAGATGACATATGTAGTTGCAGAATAACTACACCACCTTATTAGTGAGTGGGATGACTGGACACAGGAGAGGGAATTTAACCCTTTGACTGTAGAGCCTTGGAAAAAGTAAGAAAGAAAAACACAGGTGCCATTTTGCCCAGTTTATCAAGAGAACAATGCCTTTCTGCCATTGGTATGCTGGAATAACACCTCAGATGGGCTTGCCAAATGTGAAACCAGGTCCTCTTTCCTGATGAATCAAAGTTTTGTGTAGAACACTCTTGACTGACATCAGTGAATGTGGCACAGACGTGTAAAACAGTGCATGGACTGGCAGAACTCCAGGAGTAGTGATTGACGGCAACGTGATGGCATAGCACTAGATTGCTCAGGTCCTAGTATCATATTTGCTGTACTTTCTATGGGTTCTATGAGTTTATCATGAAAGTGACAACGTTCCAGCTGGATAAACCACACCCTCATGCTGCTTAAGATACAGATATAATACACAAGGGGGCTTCATGTTTGTGGGGTGCATCAAGATAACTTTGGAGCTTAAGCATCATCCTCTGCAAATAAGCAAAGGCCATGTGAAGGGATTTTTTAGGACTTTGATAAGTGACTGGTGGTCTGTTTCAACAGTTACTGTCTGGCCACATGTGAAGTTATGGAACGTCTGACATGCAAAAACAGGCGCAGGGAGTTTTTCCCAATGTGAATCCAATGTGTCAAATCTCAGTGTCTCTCTGAGCTTCTAATGCAGAAGCTTCTGATTTACAATCCAGAACACAAACAATTCCAAGGCCATGCAGGGACATGTTTGTTGAGCATTACTACAGATTTCTGAACATCAACCCATGATGGACTTGAGAGTAGCATTTTAAGCTTGTTGATAGCATTGGTTTGTCAGTCTTCCCTGCTTCATTGTGTACTGTATATCGGAGGAATGTTCCTGTATATGCTGTCTGCGGGCAGTTCAATCAGGCGATATTTCTGTAGCACAGTATGGATACTGACAGTTCATTTTTCCAAGAAAACACTCTGTCCTAAAATGTGGACTTATTTTGATTGCTCTGGTCTTGTGTGAACTATATTGGTCAACAGATGTGAAGCCTCAGCTTTAAGCTGACAGCTCTGATCCTATGGTACACTGTATACAAGTGCTTGCTGTGCCCTTATATCAATGTTTCCTGGACAAGTGTGTCGTGAACAATGATTTCTCAGAGCAACCTGACAAAACAGTTGTTCTTGTGAAGACACTACGTACATTGAAATGTCATGAAGGAATTGTAGGACACTATCACGTTTGCCAGTTTTGATTTCATATGGGATTATTTGCCAGAATTCATTATTGCATCAAAGATGCAGAATACCTCTGTATTCACTTGCTTTGCTCTCCGTATGGGATGATGGTGATTCAGCAGTTCTTTGTTTAGGTGGACAGGGTTGATAATGTTTCTAGTGGTGCCATCTCTTATCACAGCATCAACCATTGCAAAAATCTATTTCATAACAGCTTCTATGGTTGTGGTTTACAATCCCTGTGTCTGCTGTTTTTTGTCTTAACAAGGCAGTCACCAATTTTATTTGCAGTACTTAATAAACTAGTCATTGATCTGCTTAGGCTTTTTTTTGAGCAATCAGGTCTGCAAATACCAGCACCGGCACTCCTGGACCAGCACTGAGAAACACTGTTCAATGGTGTGGGTGGCATGTTGGCACAATGGTTAGCATTGCATCCTCACAGTGTTGGGTTCAATTCCAGACGTGGGGTGTTAGCGGGATGGATTTTGAATGTTCTCCCCATGTTCACATGGGTTTTTGCTGGGTTCTGCGGTTCACTCCCACAATTCAAAGACATACAGTACTGGTAGGCAAACTGGCTTCTGGGAAATCTGGCCCTGGTGTGAGTGTGTACGTGTTTGTGTTTGTACATAGCCTGAGATGGACTGGTGTCCTGATCAGGGTGTACTGTATCTTGCCTTACACCTGTTGCTTGCTAGGATAAGCTCAGGCTCCCCCACAACCTTGAAGTGGATGAAGTAGTTAGGAAATGTATGGAAGTCTACAGTATGTGTGTGTGAGCTGTTATGTTTTAATTGTGGTGTAATTAAATAATTGTATAACAGTATAGTACTATACTGAATGGTTCATTGCAACATCAGCACAAATTCCTTATGTATCAGCTTGACAAATAAAAGTATCTAGATTGTCAATTGTATTGAGAAGGGCCTTCTGATAACAGACATACAGTAAGGTTCTAATAAAGTTTGATC